GGTGAGTGCACCTGCCCTGTAGCAATTAAAAATAATAATAATAAATAAAATTGAATAATTCTTTAAAAATATATAGTAGAAAATTTCCCAGAACTGAAGTAGACAAGTCTACTAATTGAAAGATTCCACTAAGTCAAGTGCCCTTAAAAAGGGATGAAAAAAGATGCACACAATGGGCCAGCCCTGCAGCACAGCAGCTAAGTACTGTGCATAGAAATCTGGATGCCACATGACTGACTACAGTTCAAATCCTAGTCCCAGAGGTTTGCAAAACGTACTGGATATGTGTGTATCCACATGTGCATATTATCAGAATCCTGAAAGACAGAGAAATAGAGGAAAACAGATTATGACATAACCACATTTCATGGGGGGAGGGGGTTCTCTCTCTCTCTCTCTCCAGTGAGCACACACACTCCCCAAAGCACACACACACACACACACACAAAAAAACCCTATGCACATTAATGTGAAATGTTAGGGGTAAAGAGAAGCTCCTAAAAGCTTCCAGATTTTAAGAACAGACCACATGTAAAGAATAGGCTCAGAATTCCCACAGAATGCTTGGAGCACTGCCTTTAAAATTCTGAGGAGAAAATTACTTTCGACAGATTCCAAAATACCAAAGAAGCAAGAATAGAGACATTTTTAGACCTGTAAAACCTCAAAATCTTCACTTCCCATACACGTAGAAAGTTACTGGTGGGGGAACCAGCAGATGGTGTAATGATTACATTGCTGGGCTCCCATGTAGTCACCATGGTCTGAGTCCTGGACTCGGTGGCTTAGAACTCATGCTGATGCATGCACACACATGCCAAGATCTCAAGGAGAATGGAAGAAAAGGGATTATGGCACAGCCATTCCCCCCTGGGAGGTGATTTCTTACTTTCTGTCTGCGTCTCTCTCTGGTGAGTACATATGCCCTACAGCAAAACATCTCTCAAAAAAAAAAAAAAGAAAGAAAGTTATTGGTGGATAAACTTCAACAAAAAGAAAACGGAGGAGAGCAATAAACAAGAAAAAGGTAGTAACAAGATCTAATAAACTGGAGATCGAACATGAGACAAAAAATAAAGGGGGTTTCAGAATGACTCCTAAGCCATAGACCAGGCCTGGAATGCAACAGCTAAAAGGAAAAAGATGATGTACAAAAAAGAAAAAAAGGAACCGATAGATCTGATGCACATTTAAGCATTTAAATAATCATTGCAGATAGCAAAATTTTAAATCAGGCAATAATAACTCTAGGAAAAATAAAGTTCTACGTGCCTTTTGTGTCAGTACCATGCTGTTTTGATTATCACGGATAGCGTTGTAATACACATTGGGGTCAGAGAGTGAAATGCCTCCTACTCTATTCTTTTTGCCCAGTATGGCTTTGACAATATGGGGCCTTTTATGATTCCAGACAAAATTTATGATTTTTTCTTTTCCAATTCTGTGAAGAACATCTCTGGTAATTTGATAGGGATTACATTAAATTTTAAATTAATTTGGGTAGAATTGACATTTTGATTATATTAATTCTTCCAATCCAGGAGCAGGGGATGTCCTTTCACTTTTTTTTTTTTTTTTAATAATTTTCAATAGGGAACTGATAGATAATCTGAATATATACGGAACTCAGCAACTTATCTGCAAAAAAAGTAATTAATCCAATCAAAAGATGGGAAACTGATTTGAATAGACAACTCTCCAAGGAAGACATTCAGCCAAAAAGCATATGAAAAAATACTCAGTATCCCTTATCTTAAGAAAGATGCAAATAAAAACCACAATTAGATACTACTTAACCCCAGCCAGAATGACTCAGATTAAAAAATATAAGAAGTGCTGGTGAGGCAGCAGTGGAAAGGGAACACCCCTGTTGGTGGGAAAATGAATTAGTACAACCACTGTGGAGAACAATATATAGGTTCCTCAAAATCCTACAAATATTAGGTCAGGAAAGTCATGACATATTTTTCTGTGCAAAAATGCTTCATGACTTTCCCAGTGACCTAACAGAACTACCATGATCCAAGAATTCCAATACTAGGTATTTATCCAAAGGATAGGAAAAACATTCAGTTGGAAAAAATACTTGAACATCCATGTTTATTGAATTATTCACAATTGCTAAGACATGGAATCAACCCAAATGTCCAGAAACAGATGGATGGATTGAAAAAATGTGCACATATACACTATGGAATACTACTCAGTCACTAAAAACAAGGAGACCCTAGCAGCATTTGCTAGAAAGTGGACAACTACGTAAATTTAATACTAAGTGAAGCAATATAGACTGTGAAGGGGAGGCACTACATGTCCCCACTTAATTATACCAAATGGCTGCACTCGGTGGTAGAAATTGAAAGATAGGAACTTTAAAACCATGGAGAGCAACTGTGGGTGATAGACAGTGTGGGAAGAGAGTGGACAATGGGGGCAAGAAGGGAGAAAATCAAGGGAAAAAAACCCAAAACACTTAACAGACATAAAAAAGGAAAATTATGTGTTCATGATAATGTGTAAAGTAATATCTCTGACTAGACTAATCATGCTGGGAAAGTTCTTTTTTCTATATTTATTTTATTATTATTTTTAAATTTTCTATAGGACACTTGTGCTCACCAGAGAGGAACAGAGAAACAAAGAGTGAGTGAGAAAGCTAGCCACCAGGTCCTGGACTCGAACCATGGTCAGATATGTGGAAGTACAGCACCTTAACCACCACACTATCCACAGGCCCAAGCAAGTTCATTTTGTATGCTCTAAAAATGTACAGTAACTAAATGTAAAAATTAATAAATAAATAAAGTTCTAGTAGACAGAATATGATGGTGGTTAACCATGTGGTTCATCAGTGAATAACACATCTACTGATCTAACAAAAATTGTGACTTAAGAAAATTTTGTGTGAATATAAATCTATATTAGCAGAGATGGGTTAAAAAAATGGGTCATGAGGGGATGTAAGAAAAGAAAATTGAGTCTATCATAAAAAGGATTCAAGAAGTCATTTCGGAAATTAATATATCAGGAAAAAGTAGTAAAGCATTTTCAAATAGGAGATAAATACTAGAACAAACCACTAAGAGTTAATTAAAAGTGCTTATTTCTGGGGTACTAAGTTGAAGAAAGGGAGAACTACTGTTTTCTACTATAAATCTTTTAGTTCTATTTGATATTTAAACTATGTACTTGAAATACCTAATAAAAAGGAAGCTAAGTTTAAAAATAAAATTATTTAAACTTACACAGTCCATACGAGTTCAAAGAGAGGACTGGCGATCTGGAAGGACATGAAAAGGAAGCCATCTCTATCAGTTCCCTATAATTTACTTACCCACCAGGGATATTAAAAGAGAACTCCTCTAGGGACCAGCAGTTAGTGTAGTGGCTATGTTGCTGGACTCCCACGTAGTCAACCGCGGTTCGAGTTCCGGACCTGGTGGCTTAAATTCACGCCGGACGCGTGTGCGTGCGTGCCCAAGATCCCGAGAGGAGAGTGGAGGAGAAGGGATTGCGGCCTGGCCATCCCTCCTGGGGGGTGATTTCTCGCTTTCTATCTCTCCGTCTCTGTCTGTCTGTCTGGCGAGCGAATGTGCCCTGTAGCAAAAACTTCTCCAAGAAAAAAAAAAAAAAGAGAGAACTCCTCTAAGGAGCTCCCACAGCCTAATCTGGCTTTCAGGCCCCAAGACCCTCTCATTGCATCAAGCAGCAATAGCACAGCTCAAAAAACAGACCTAAAGGCACTCCATTAAATAAAAAAGAATTGGTAGAGTCTGAATTAATGATGTGAATAAAGTATATGGGATTAATATCAAAATATTGGTCTAGTATTAACATATTATAAGGATATATTTCCTGAGATCTTGTGATGTTTTCTAAATTTCTAAATATGATGATACATGGTAAAAAAAAAAAAAAAAAAAAAAAAAAAAAAACTACAATTCATGGTCAAAGATTCCAGAGTATCTACAGAAATGAAGATGCTTTATCTCTTCCCGTGGAATTTAAATTTGAGCAATAGTATCTACTCCTGGGCTGGCCTGATTGAAGATAAGATGATAATACAATATAATGAAACAAAATTTAAACTTAAGTGAGTACTCCAGACAAAAAAAATTATCATCGAAGTCCCTTAATCATTGAGGCCTATGCTTCCTACACACCATCAGGACTGGACACTGGAAAAGAAAAGCAAGTACTAGCTTAAATCACTAATAAGTCAAGACAGTCTCCAAATTCTTCAGTAACTCCATGGCCTAGGTAAAGCAAAAAAGTAACTATACATAACAGAAAAACCGGACAGGCTGAAATTTTTACAACATTGGTCTCATTTCATTCATCCTTTTCTTAAAATTCAGAAAGTCAGGCACACTTGATAATATATAGGGCTCCTCAAAATGCAAACTTTCGAGTTCAATAGGTTGCTTCATGCTAATTCACTGATCAAGATATAATATCAGATATAATTCAAGAAATATTTATTTTAAAAAAAATCATAAAAGTATCTGGTCCCTATGGGGGGGGGCGTGGCTCTAAATCACAATAAAGCTATAGTTAAGAACACAGCAAACCTGTTTAAGCACCTGTTTCAATGGAGGAAAAAAATGATACCAACCAGAAATGACTGCACTTTATTTAAAAAATATTTACAGAAAACTGTTCACAAATTCATCTATTTGGGTAAAGCAATAGAAAATGGATTTGATTATTTTCTATAACTTCAAATACTTTTTATAATGTTTTTGTTTTAAATGTTACTTGGAAAAAAAAAATACTATCAGAAAAACTCATCAGTAGCACCTTGACCTTCATGGTGTTATCAACTACGCAGTTTCTTACCACAAAAAAAAAGAAAAAAACCTGAATATCCACTCAACATCAGTAACACATTATTAACTTTTTTCTAATTAAAACATATGAAATACAATTTATGGGAAGAAAAAGATTGTACCAAATATAGAACAGATTAATAACCTGTGTGCTATTTAAAATCACAAACACTTTAAACAGCATACAGTTTATCTAAATACATATTGACGTATATAGATTATGTATATCCATTTAAACTTAAAGAAGGCCTATAACTATAGACTTATTCTTAGTAAATACCAAACATTAATTCTCAAAAAAAAAAAAAAATTCCCACATAATCTTAAAAGAGAAATTTAAAGTGAAATTGGTCAGACCATTCAAAGCTCATTTGTGTATACACAAACAAAAATCAAATCCATAAAGAATACTATTAGCACTTAATAAAAATTAAACAGAGTATCAAAGAATGTAAAAAATACAATGTATTATATGATGAGTTTAGATGCAAAAACCACATATTTATTAACTATGTGATTAACTTAAAAAGACCAAACCATTTGTTTTAAAGTGCTCTTCATCCAAAACCTTGGACAAAACCATCACCCCAAAGTGAATTTTAAAAAAAACAGATTACAAGGCAAACACTGATAACAGGTATGGACAGGCACTACAAAAAAAAATGCTACTTCTTTAATTAAATAATGCCATTCTTAAGTGATATAATCAGTAATCACCTTGACAGAATTCCTTTTTTGTATAAATATTCATAAATAAAAAATGTTTCTAGATATTCTAAAAAGCTGCAAATAATACCTTACAACAGCAGCTTAAAGTCTGTTTTAGAAAAAAAGCACTAAAACCTCCTTTATTGAAAGTTTTTATTTCGCTGGTATAAGTGAGCAAGGTCACTACAACATTAACCTCTTTTCTAGAACAAACAATGTATACACATTTCAAATTTGGTAGGTCACAAAAGTCAGGATGCAATCATCATTTGATGCAATAAGAAAATAAATAAATTAAAAAAAAATTAAATACTTTAACCCAACATTTGGTATTGACAAATCAGTAGTGTCAACTTCATATATGAAGGACAGCAGAGTCTCGTTTTTAAAAATGTTCAATATGTCATGGAACTCGGGCTAAAGATATTTAAAACATTAAGTGCTTCCTTTTTGCTTACAAGAATACAATGCAGTCACCATCGAGCTGCTACAGAAACTCATTTTTAGCTGGGGTAAAGTGACCATTTGGTCCATGGCACAAGTTACATATATCACACTCTGTCAAACTGAAACCTTGTAAGATTTCATGTTTATAAGCTACAATACACACTGACCGAGTTGTCAGTCCTTCACAGGTTTTTAGAAAAATATCTACATTTGTCTTGTGGATGTCAAAATGTTACACTATCATTTAAAAAAAAAATGCACATTCATACTGTGAAGTTATTAGGAAAATACTCTTGCAAATAAACTATATAAAGATAAAATACACTTCAAAAGTATGTGTGTCATTTCTTTGTTTTACAATATTCTATAAAGTGCAGAGAAATCCTAAGTAAAGGGAAAAACTACTCCCCATAACAATGGTTTAATTACAGCAGCTTTTGCATAGCAATACTTAGAGGAAGTTGGACACTTCGAATTCCTCAAGAAGAGAAGGATGGAAGAGGATCTTCTGATTCAGATTTTTTTTTGGCTATAAGTCTGCTTTCTTCAGGAATGGTTGCTGATGCCAAATCTCCATTAACTGTACTTCTTGAACAGTGAACAGGTCCTATTAAGAAATTGATTAAGAGGTTAAGCATCCTATCAATTATTAATTCCAGTACTCCAAGAAAGAACTTCTTAAATCTCCTAATCGAGGACAGGAAACTCCTTTAGCTTCCTGCTAATTTTCATTTAGTTCTTTCTTTAGTTAAAAAAATAATAACAATTTTTCTGTTGATGGTCATAAGGAGAAACTTCAGAAATATCAGATAAATTATGAAAATATCTAATGTAAAGATACCTGTTTTGTTCATTGTTCACTGTCAGAACCATGGTTGGGCAGTCAATACTTGCTGAATTAAATGTAATCTCTTTCTTAGTAAGCTACTGCTTTTCAGCCTGATTGTTTTAATGTTGTTAATATCCTCCTTAGTTCAAGGCAAAGAAATCAAGATCCGAAAAACGGTAATAGAAATAAGACCAAATTCAAGCCTTCCTCTTTTTATTTTAAGCAAAGCTGGCAAGGTGCATCATACTGAAAGTTCCCATCTTTCCATTTAAAATGCAGCTCGTGGGACCAGCAGGTGATGTAGTGGTAAAGGTGCTGTATCCCTCATGGCCAGCCATTTAAGTCCAGACTTGATTTGAGTCCCAGACTTCATAGTTTGAAAAACAAGGTGTGTGTGTATGTGTGTGTTTTTGTGTGCTGAAAATCCCAAGAGGAGAATGGAGGAGAGGGACTGTGGCATGGCCATTTCTCCTAGGTAATGATTTCTCAATTTCTCTCTCTCTCTGTCTCCAGTGAGTGCATGTGCTGTAAGTCAAAATCCGGGGGGGGGGTGTGTGTGCGGGGAGCAAAGCACAAAATGATCCCTGCAACTCTGTGTTCAGTGAGCATAACTAGACATAATGGTACTGTCCTGTTTCAACAGTTGCACTTTCATGCCTATTACCTGAATTTACCATGACAATTACTATTTTTATAATTTCTAATGATCTTAATAAAAAAGTAGGAGCAGTTGCATCTCACAAGGAAAAGAATGTTTTTGGATAAAGACTTTTAACTAATACTACCAATTGCAAAACACATACTTTCTAAGGAAGAACACTAATTTAATCTCCCCTTTAACTAGCTGAAACACTAAACTTTGGCATAAACAGGAAAAAAAATATCCACAGGATGAAATTTCTGACCTAGTCCATACATGCCAGTTTAAAGACATTTAAACAGAGATATACATATGTGTATGTGTATGTATGTAATTCAAGAGACCTCATAAAGTTCATGGAGTGTAGTATGAAGTGTATTCACATTTGGTAAACTTACTGTACAACTACGTGATGTACAGTGACTGAATGTATAAAACGAATTAAAATTTAAAATAAATAAATAAACTATAATTTTAAAATAAACCCTTTAAAAATAATTAATTAAATTTTAAAAGGTCATGGAAAATCAAATTATTGAATTAAAGTGTAAGTTTATTTTGGCACAAAAATTTTCAGATTCCATATATAGTTTTTTCGTAAATGCATTTTCCATGAACTTTTTGAAGGCCCCACGTATTGTGTGTGCATTTGTGTACAACTAGTTTTGCTTCATTTCTTTTTTTTCCCCCTTTTTTTTAGCAGGGGGAGAATTTTGCTATCGGCTGTGTACACTCACTGGTGAGTCAGAGAGCGAGAATCACCCCCAGGGAGAACGGTCATGCCACAAGCCCTTCTCCATTCTCCTCTCAGGATTTTGGGCATGCATGTACACGCAATGGGTGTGAATTTTAAGCCACTGGGTCCAGGACTCAAATCATAGTCGACTACATGGGAATCCAGTGCCATAACCATTATGCCATCTGCTGGTCCCTAGTTTTGTTACATTTCTTAACAGCTAAATTGGGTAATGCTAAACATGTTAAGGTATGTAAACCTAAATCTTAAAAAAACTGTTCTCAAAAAATTGGGGACCAGGGTGCCTAAAAGAGAAGAGAGCTAAGGAAAATGAATAGCTTTACAATGAAATTAATTCAGCTGTCACAAGTGACACTCTTAAAGAAAAAAGAAGTGGCACAAGAGAAAAGTACAAGGCAACATACAGAATTCTTTCATGAAGTCTGGATTAAAAAAGTAATATGTGGGGGACCAGTAGTTAGCGTAATGGCTATGTCACTGGACTCCCATGTGGTCGACCGCGGTTCACGTACCGGACCCGGTGGCTTAAAACTCACACCGGGCGCGTGTGCATGCGTGCCCAAGATCCCGAGAGGAGAATGGAGGAGAAGGGATTGTGGCCATCCCCCTGGGGGGTGATTTCTTGCTTTCTGTCTGTCTGTCTCTGTCTGTCTGGCAAGCGCATGCGCCCAAAAACTTCTTAAAAAAAAAAAAAAAAGTAATGTGCAGGACCACCAGGTGGCATGGTGGTTAAGGTGCTGGACTCTCACATGGCTGAAGAGTTTGGGTCCCAGACCTGGCAGCTTGTTTTCTCACTTTCTCTTTCTCTCTTGCACAAATACCCTATAGCAAACTAAAAATAATATAATAATAAATAAGGGGCCAGCAGATGGTGTGATGGTCCAGGCAGTGGACTCCCTTCAGGGTCAACAATGGTTCAAGTCAGTGACCTGGTGACTTGCTTTCTTGTTCTATCTCTATCTCTCTCTTTATCTCTCTCTCTGTTGAGCGTGCATGCCTTATAGCAAATTTTTTTAAATTTATTTATTTATTCATTCATTATTTTAATTTTTACCAGAGAGAGACAGAGAAGGAAGGAAAGTGAGAAAGCAAGCCACCAGATCTGGGATTCAAACCATGGTTGGTCATGTGGGAGTGTCCAGCACTTTAACCACCACGCCACCTGCTGGTCCCAGCAAATTTTTAAAACTACTACTACTACTAATTTTTTTTTTTTTTGAGAGGTTTTTGCTATAGGGCACGTGCGCTCACCGGAAAAGACAGAGACAGACAGAACACGAGAAGTCCTCCCTGGGGGGATGTCCACGTCGCAATCCCTTCTCCTTCATTCTCCTCTCAGGATCTTGGGCACGCATGCACACACGCCCAGCATGAGTATAAGCAAGTAGGTCCGGGACTTAAACCGTGGTCAATTACGTGGGAGTCCAGCCACATAACCATTACGTCATCTGCTGGTCCCAAATCATTTTTAATTAAAACAATAATAATAATTAATAATTTTATAAATGTATTTTAAAAAACAATAAATACCATACTCAGCTCTAAACTGGGCTCTCTATGTTACCCAGACCAGCCTAAAATTGGCAATTCTCCTGTATTAACCTGTCAAGTCACTAGATTATAGGCATGCATCACCACACCAGGCCGTTAGTTTGGACCAGGAGTTCAATCTGGGCCTTCCATGTGGTCTCACCTTACAGAGCAAAGCTGTCCTACAGATGGCACCACCAAAGGTGGGTCCCCCTCTTCTTCTTTTCTCTTTCAGGTCTCACTCAATTGCTTAGGAAAGTTTCTTTCTCACTTTTCCATCCCACCCTTAACCCACCTCCTTCCCTTCATTTCTCTATCCAATGAGCTATATATTTCAAAATGATAATGAGCACCAAGTAGTGCTCTGTATCAATAAATGATTAGTTCCATAAAAATACGGACAACAACAAAAAAGATGCCACCAACTTTTAAAAGTCTGAAAATGGCCAGTGGTCTCTTTTAGAAGTACTACCATCTGCATGAACTCCAAATCTTCCTCTAATTAAACCTGTTTAACTTCTTGGTTAAACAAAACAGCTCTACCTCAATCAATGTTCTCAATATATTCAAATATTACAAATGCAATACAATCGTTTAGTCCAATGTCAGTTATCCTATGATATAGCCGGTCTCCTTTATCTACTATCTAACCATTGTATCGCTTCCATAGAAAAATAAAATCTGTGTTCTAAACAAGTGGAATACAATGAACTCTTGAAACACAATCAGTTCCTTAACTAGGAACTGTATATAATTTCTTTATTTTTTAGAATTATTTTATTTAATTTTATTCATTGTCATTATTTTATTTTAGTTATCTGAAGTTGACCAGAGACAGAGAGACAGAAAGAAAGTGAGAATGCAAGCTGCCAGGTCCAGGACTCGAATTGTGGTCAGTCACATGAGAGTCCAGCCACCTTAACCACCATGCCACCTGCTGGCCCACTGTATATAATTTCTATCCCACATACTTCATGAAAAATGGTAAAAACTTTGAAAAGTATAAGTGTACTAATGAAAATATAATTGTAAGACCATACTGGGGCCAGCAGGTGGCATAGTGGTTGAGGCACTGCACTGCCACATAGCTGAGCTGACCATGGTTCAAATCCTAGATCTGGTGGGACCAGCAGGTGGCGTGGTGGTTAAGGTGCTGGAATTCCCAAATGGCTAACTGTAGTTAGAGTCCTGGACCTGGCAGCTTACTTTCTAGCTTTCCCTCTCACACTCTCTCTGTCCTTCTCTGGCAAAACTCATGTGAAATAATTCTTAAAAAAAAAAAAAAAAAGAAAACAATGG